GCTAGGTTGTATGGTTGTTGTATGTTTAGGTTTTTTTTTTTTTTTTTTTTCAAGAAAAGAAAACAACTACTAACTGTTACCAGAGTGGCTGTACCACTTTACATTCCCTCCAACATTTGGTGTTGTCGCTAATTTTTATTTTAGCCATTCTAATAGGTGTCTAATGATATCACATTGTGGTTTTAATTTGCAATTTGCATCTCCCTAATGACGAAATATGTTGAACATCTCTGTGTGTTTATTTTCCACCTGTACATCTTCTTCATAGCATTATCTGTTTGTGTCTTTTGCTCATTTTCTAATAGGATTATTTATTTTCACTGATGGTCAGCATTTGAGAGTTCTTTATATATTCTAGATACAAGTTCTCTGTCAAGTATGTGGTCTACAAATATTTTCTCCTGCTTTATACCTTGTCTTTTTATCTTCTTTATTCAGTCTTTTCACAGAGCAAATTTTGATGAGGTCCAATTTTCCTTTTATGTGTTGTGCTTTTAGTGTCAAATCTAATAACTCAAGGCCTAGCTCTAGATCCCAAGATTTTCTCTTATGCTTTTTTCTAAAATTTTTAGTTTTACATTTTACATTTAAGGCTGTGATTCATTTTGAAGCTTAGGTCAAGGTTTATGTATTTATTGTTTTGCTTATGAATATCCAGTTGCTCCAGAACCATTTGCTGAAAAGGCTGTTCCTTCTCCATTGAATTGTTTTTGTACCTTTGTTAAAAATCATTTGGATATATTTGTGTGGGTCTATCTCTAGGTTCTTTATTCTGTTCCATTGATCTATGTAAACATTTCAAGATCTATCCTGAAGTTCAACACTGTCAGTAATATTATTCATACACCTACAAGGAAGACCAGTTAATATGACTATTCAAGTGTATATACCAACTACTAATGCCAAAGACAAATCAAAAAATTTTTACCAACTTTTGCAGTGTGAAATTAATCAAACATGCAATCAAGATACGTTGGTAATTACTGGTAGTTGGAATGTGAAAATTAGGAAGAAGAATCAGTAGTTGGAAATCATGACCTTGGTGATAGAAATGACTCCAGAGATTGCATGACAGAATTTTGCAAAACTAATGAAATATTCAGGAGCTCTGGTAGCATAGTGACTTACTTAACTGCTAACCAGAAAGGTGGCGATTCAAACCCACCAGCCACTCCTTAGAAGGAAGGTTGGGCAATCTACTTCCGTAGTGATACCACCTCAGAAACCCAAGGAGGGGTCGCTATGAGTCAGGTCCAATTCGACGGCACATAACAACAACAACAACAATTACAGTTATTAATTGTAATAAAATTATTCCTCTGAGGTTAGCTGGATTCTTAGTTACATAATAATATATTATTTAAAAAATTGTCTTCCTTAAAACATAATGAAAGATAAGAAATGTTCACATTTTGTGAGGAGGGCTATTTTTGTAGGCAAAGTACACTTCCTTTGCCAAAGAATAATGATCGACTAACTTCATTTTCCTTTCTTGTTCAGGTGATGTATGGAATGTTGGTCTTCACATTAGTACTACGATCTATATATATTGTTACCTGGTAAGTAGTTTGGATCATCAACACTATGATCAGAGTATCATCAAACTTACAACAGTAAAACTATAGCCTAAATTTAAATGATAAAAACCCAGCTCCAGCAGGGATGTTAATAGAAAACTATAACCTGACATTTATTATGTCATATTATAAGTTCTTCAATTAAGTTAATAGGCATTACATGAAAACAAGGGTCTAAAATCAAAGAAGTATGAGGAAATCTGTGTGTGATGGCCTCCTGTTGAATATTTACAGGGTACATTAGTATATTTAAAAACTTGAAAAATCCTTTGTTTCTCAAACCTACTTGACTAGGGAACTCTTTTACATAACACCTCTCAAGGAAAGCTACTGATGTCATAAAGAACCAGTGTTTCATTAAACATCATTGGGGAAACGGATATAATTTTTATAGAGTTCATGAAAATTAAATAAGAAATAATGTTTGTTTGAGTATCTTAAATAGAGCCTGGCCATATAGAGGTGCTCAGTTAATAAATAGTATGATTTGTGGGGGATTTTCTCTTTTTTATTTTCTTAAAACTTTAATTTTGAGATAATTATAGAAGCACAGGCATTTGTAAGAAATACTATAAACAGATACCCTATACATTTTGCCCACTTTCTTCCAGTGGTAACATCTTGCAAACTACAATAGCAAGCAGGATTTAACATTGATATAGTGAAGATACAGAATAATTCCATCCCCACAAGGATCCCTATGTTGCCTTTTTATAGCCACACCCACTTCCCTCTGCTTTCCCTTGCCCTTTTTCTGCTACCCCCTTTCCTTATCCCCTGGCAAAACCATTGGTCTGTTCTCCATTTCTATAATCCCATCATTTCAAAAATGTTATATAAAATGGAATCGTTGTGTACACCTCCTCACTTATGGAGGATATTTCTCATTTACAACAACTCTTAAAAAAGTTTTCAGGCAGCACCTCAGATGGCTACCCCAAACAATATACAGAGGGCCCAGTGACAGATGGATCACATGAGGGACAGTGGCCAGTCAGTCACAGGATGCCTTCTCCCATTCATCTGCAACATCTCAGTCTAGCCAGAGAGGGCATGGTGAGACAGTGAGATAATGCAAGGTTGCAGGCAGGCAGGGGGAGGCCAGTTGAGGGAGGTCAGTAAGAGGAGATGGAGAGGTAGGGGGCTGTGCAGGGCTGCAGGGCCAGGACAGACAGAGGATGAGTAAGGTCCCCACCCAGGGTGGGAGGCAGTGGGCGATGAGCAACACCACCATCAGTCCCAACCCCTGCGGGCTTTGTGGTGGTGCAGAAGGCATGGTGGGGAAGGAGGGCCCACTGCATCATGCACATCCTCAGGTGCAGTGTGGGCACCTCACAGGTGGTGAGTGACCCGAGGTGCGGGACCAATGATGAAGATGAGACACGGCCCCGGGCTCTCGCTTGAAACCAATTTTATGTAACGAACTGATCTTTGGAAGCTAACTATGTTGATAAATGAAGAATGGGTATATCAGTTTTTGCTTGGCTTTTGCACTCAGCATAGTTCTCTGAAGATTTATCCAAGTCATTCAGTTTATCAATAATTCATTCCTTTTCATTGCTGAGTAGTCGTTCATGGTATGGATGTACTGCAGTGTAACCTTTTGTCTGTTGAAGGACAGCTGAGTTTCCAGTTTGGGGCTATTGTGAAGAGCTGCTATGAACATTTGTGTATAGATTTCTGTGTAAACATAAAGTCTCATTTATCTGGAATAAATGCCCAAGAGTGGAAATGCTAGGTTGTATGGTTGTTGTATGTTTAGGTTTTTTTTTTTTTTTTTTTTCAAGAAAAGAAAACAACTACTAACTGTTACCAGAGTGGCTGTACCACTTTACATTCCCTCCAACATTTGGTGTTGTCGCTAATTTTTATTTTAGCCATTCTAATAGGTGTCTAATGATATCACATTGTGGTTTTAATTTGCAATTTGCATCTCCCTAATGACGAAATATGTTGAACATCTCTGTGTGTTTATTTTCCACCTGTACATCTTCTTCATAGCATTATCTGTTTGTGTCTTTTGCTCATTTTCTAATAGGATTATTTATTTTCACTGATGGTCAGCATTTGAGAGTTCTTTATATATTCTAGATACAAGTTCTCTGTCAAGTATGTGGTCTACAAATATTTTCTCCTGCTTTATACCTTGTCTTTTTATCTTCTTTATTCAGTCTTTTCACAGAGCAAATTTTGATGAGGTCCAATTTTCCTTTTATGTGTTGTGCTTTTAGTGTCAAATCTAATAACTCAAGGCCTAGCTCTAGATCCCAAGATTTTCTCTTATGCTTTTTTCTAAAATTTTTAGTTTTACATTTTACATTTAAGGCTGTGATTCATTTTGAAGCTTAGGTCAAGGTTTATGTATTTATTGTTTTGCTTATGAATATCCAGTTGCTCCAGAACCATTTGCTGAAAAGGCTGTTCCTTCTCCATTGAATTGTTTTTGTACCTTTGTTAAAAATCATTTGGATATATTTGTGTGGGTCTATCTCTAGGTTCTTTATTCTGTTCCATTGATCTATGTAAACATTTCAAGATCTATCCTGAAGTTCAACACTGTCAGTAATATTATTCATACACCTACAAGGAAGACCAGTTAATATGACTATTCAAGTGTATATACCAACTACTAATGCCAAAGACAAATCAAAAAATTTTTACCAACTTTTGCAGTGTGAAATTAATCAAACATGCAATCAAGATACGTTGGTAATTACTGGTAGTTGGAATGTGAAAATTAGGAAGAAGAATCAGTAGTTGGAAATCATGACCTTGGTGATAGAAATGACTCCAGAGATTGCATGACAGAATTTTGCAAAACTAATGAAATATTCAGGAGCTCTGGTAGCATAGTGACTTACTTAACTGCTAACCAGAAAGGTGGCGATTCAAACCCACCAGCCACTCCTTAGAAGGAAGGTTGGGCAATCTACTTCCGTAGTGATACCACCTCAGAAACCCAAGGAGGGGTCGCTATGAGTTGGATCCAACTCAATGGCACATAACAACAACAACAACAATGAATTATTCACTGCAAGTACCTTTTTTCATCAACATAAATGGTAACTGTACATATGGACTTTGCCAGATGGAGTACACAAGAATCAAATCAACGAAGTCTGTGGAAAAAGATGATGGAGAAGCTCAGTATCATCAGTCAGAACAAGGCCAGAGGTGACCTGCAGAACAGACCTCAGCTGTCACATGCAAGTGCAAGTTGAAGCTGAAGAAAATTAAAGCAAGTCCTTGAGAGCCAAAGTACAACCTTGAATATATCCCATCTGAATTTAGAGATTATCTCAAGAATAGGTTAGACATGTTGAACACTAATGACCAAAGACCAGACAAGTTGTTGGATGACATCAAAGATATCATACATGAAAAAAGCAAAAGGTCACTAAAAAGGAAATAAAGAAAAGCTAAAAATGGGTATCAAAAGAAACTCTGAAATTTGCTCTTAGAATCTATTCTTTAGAGTAGCTAAAGCAAATGGAAGATAGTCTCAGAGGACATCAAGGTCAATTAGCATAACAGTCTTCAAAGACAACACAGTTCTATATCTTACTTCGGTGAGTATCAACTGGGATCCTAAAAGCTTGTGAGTAACCATCTAAGGTGCAGCTTTGATCTCTACCCGTCCCGAGCAAAGAATAAAGAAAATCAAACATTCTCAAGGAAACAATTAGTCCAGAGGACTGATGGACTACTTGGACCCCAGCTTCCATGACCCTGAGACCAGAAGAACTAGATGATTCCTGGATACCCCTGCTGACCGCTCTGAAAAGGATCACAATAGGAGGTCTTAGACAAAATGGGAGAAAAATGTGGAACAAAACTCAAATAATAAAAAGACCAGGCTTATTAGTCTGAGAGTGACTGCTAGAACCTCCGAGACTATGGCCCTCAGGCACCCTTCAAGCCTGAACTCCCCCTGCCTTGGCTCAACTTTGAGCCAAACAATAGACAGGTCTGTAAGGTGAAGAATAACACCAAGGAGGTATGCACTCCTTAGAATAATCAGCCTTGCTAGATCAAGAGCAGCTTTGCCTAGGGATAAAGTTCAGAAGGCAGGAAGGGATAGGAAATAAAGATGAATGAAAATGGTAAACACAGGAAGGAAGTGGGAAGAGTGCTGTTTCATTGTGGGAATTAACAGTCAGTGTCACAAAAGAAAATGTGTATGAATTGTTAAGTGGAAATTTTGCTCTGTAAACTTCCAACCAAATCACAATAAAAAGTAAAATAATGATAATAAAGCAAATGGAAGAAATAAAAAAGCCAAATAGACAATTTCAAAGGGTGGCTCAAGAAGACAAAGTAAAATATTACAATGAACTGTGCAAAGACCTGGCATTAGAAAACCAAAAGGGAAGAACACGTTCAGCATTTCTCAAGCTGAAAAGACTGAAGAAAAAATTCAAACCTTGAGTTGCAATATTAAAGGATTCTATGGGCAAAATATCGAATGATGTAGGGTGCATCAAAAGAAGATGGAAGGAATACACAGTCACTGTACCAAAAAGAATTGTTCGACATTCAGCCATTTCAGGAGGTAACATATGATCATGAACCAATGGCATTGAAGAAAGAAATCCAAGCTGCACTGTATGCGTTGGCAAAAAAAAAAAAGCCTCCAGGAATTGAAGGAACATCAACTGAGATGTTTCAACAAACATGCAACTCTGAAAGCGCTCACTTTTCTATGCCAAGAAATTTGGAAGATAGCTATCTGGCCAGCCAACTGGGAGAGATCCTTACTTGTGCCCATTCCAACAGGAAACAGAAATTATTAAACAATATCATTAATATCACACACAAGTAGAATTTTGCTGAAGATAATTCAAAAAGAGTTGCAGCAGTACATAGACAGGGAACTGGCAGAGATTCAATCCAGATTCAGAAGAGTATATGAAATGAGGGATATTGCTAATGTCAGATAGATCTTGGCTGAAAGCAGAGAATACCAGAAAGATGTTCATGTA